CAGAAAGAGAGAGAAGGTAACGCAGCTCTTAACGAAGCAAAAAAGAAGTTATTGAACCTGTAATTTAGTTGACATTCGGCGAACCTCAGCTTCACCTGTTTGATGTTAACAGTCGGCCCATTCAATGCGAAAAATGGAAAAATGACCCATAACCACAATATGATTGTCAATAAAGCTCTTTATTTGAATTTGCAATTAAGTGCTGCCATTTTCAATACAGAGGGTCGACTAAAAGATGTCCAGGAGCGCAGACCCAAGCTGGTAACAAAACATTGTTTTGAGAGTTTGACTGGATCATGTTGATGCTGATTTTTTTCTGAAATCTCGCTCCCTAGTGTACACTTAACTCTGCTTCCTCTGTGAAAAAGTGGATTCCCAGCATAAAGAAAGACATGGAGTATTACTTGCAGGTAATAATTTATTACTCACGTTTTCAGTGTAAGAATAAATGTCACTTAGCTTGTTTTCCCCCACAGCAATCCCAACTTGCACATTATCCTGAGCGGAAGATAGAAGAGTTCCAGTTGAAGATGGAGGCCTTGGAGCGGGAGTACAAAAGATTTGTGACCAAGCTACGAGTGCTTGACCCCACCTGCAAGCACAAACCTTGGACCCTCAGGGCTTATTGTAAAAGGAGAGCAGACGTGCCAGAGTATTCCAGCATTGGTCAGTGCACGCACATCAAAACATTGATGTTAGTTCTGTGGACCCTCATGATTTGCAGCGTTAGCGACCATGCCCTGACCTCACTCTCAAACCAAAAACACTGCATATCAAAACACTTAAATATAATAATAATATAATTTCAAATTCATTTTACAGCATTACCGCTGAAAAGAAATGGCTGACAGATTTGATTTAATTTGATTTGGAAAGAAGTAAGAGAATGCTGGTGTGCATGGTGCAGCTTTGCAAGCCTTTAAAAACTAATTACAGCAATCTCTTTGTTGTGCTCGACTACAAATAATGAAAAAAAAAAAACAAAGTAACTGAGCCCACTAATATTGTTTCGAACTGTCCATAAGTACAGATGTGTCGCCTTATCATAGTTTCTTAAAAATACTTTTGGCGCCATCTTGTGGCAATAGTAGTTCTTAAGCAATTCTTAGTTATTAAACAAGTCTTTGTGAATTTCTTAAGTCATTGTTTGTGAATTTAGCCTTTGGTCACGACTTCGGAACGTTGTCATCCTGTCTTTATGTGGTCAAAAATGACATAAATCAAAATTTTGACTCATTTACTTCCGGCCGTTTTGAAAGCAAAGTTCCCTTTATTACCAGCCGTTTTGGAGTATTTTGATTGATCTTTCCAGACCTACACAATATTGTGTTCCGTTACAATATAAGCACCAAACCTATCAAAAAAAAAGTAGACTCTTTCTTTCTTCAGTAATCAACAGCAAAACATTGTTTTGTCTCACGATTTTACGCTTGTTCTTTGCTCCATGCGCAGTGAAAAAGTCAAAGGTCTCAACAGCAGCGTTCAGTCACTCGGAGCCCAGTTTGCCAGCTTCCATGCCGACCGTTGAGGTGGTCTCCAAAAACCAAGATCAGCCGCTCAATTTCGACCGCACGCGTCTGGCGATTGTCGCCGCGGCCTTCAGGGCAGCGTCAGATCACCAGGGTGTCTCCCAAACGCAGAACCTTGCAAGGACGCTTCAGCGTTCCTTGCTAAACTTGGGAAACATGGCGGCAGAGGTGAGTTCAGTCGTCGGACAGAAAGAAGCTGCGGAAGAGTCGGCTCAAAGGACAGCTGCGAAATCATCCCGGGGTCATGTGCTTGGCCTGGACTGTTACTCGTCTTCTGGGGAGGAGTCAGACTCATAACAGCCATATTACCTAAATGAAAGAGGTTTGTCTTCCTTTTCTTCGTGTTTTTTTTTTTTTTTTTTTTTTGTCTGTGGAAGGACACAAAAACACACTACTTTTTTTTAATTGCACAACTTTGAGCTGTTTAACAGCACTTTGGACATACACACGCTTTTGTTAACATTGCAAGACTGCATTTCACAGTCTTAATGTTCACTCGACTCTCGCATGTGCATGGATAGTCATTCATATAATTCTAGTCATGGATTTTTTTTTTTCCATCCCCAATAAAACTTCTTTCAAGTTCCAAATAGTTTTTAGTCAGTCTCTCTGAGTGGCCCGGTGCCAAATGGTGCACGATCCTAACCAAGGGGCACCATGTAAAATGGGAAGTATAATTGGGCCTAAAATCCAGCCTTGCGGTATACCACAAGCAAGAGTTGAAGAAACCTACGGTGACCGCAAAGTAGAAGATATAATAACTACTTTAATAATACGACAATAATTGCTACGACCAGCTTGCATAGACAAAGTTAAAATAGATAGCTAGCAAATTTAGCACATAGACAGATCCATCATTCGATGGACAGACACATGTATAGAATCTAGTCTCGATGAAAGTAACCAACTGGTGAACCTAGTAAACCAAAGGTGTCCAAACTACGGCCCGCCATCCATTTTTTCAAGACCCCACAACCTAAACTGAAAATAACATTTGACATGGGTCGGAATTTAATTTGAACAATATTAGTTTAAAACGGTGAAGGTGGGCAGAGTGAGAAGGGAGGTTGTCAGAAAGTTTCAAAAAGTTGAAGAATTCTAAAGTGGCCCTTTCATTCCTTCCATTTTTCTGTATGCGGACACACAAGATGGATGGATGAAAGCTATTAGTTAGCTAAGATTCTTAGAACCACTTACTGGCTTGTGTTGACAAAGCTAAGATAGTTCAACAAATTTAGCAGGCGGACGGACAAAATAGATCGAGAGATGAACCGATGGATGGTTAGCCGGACAGCCAGAGATGTATCGATGGACGCTAGCTATTTAGCTAAGATTGTTAGAGCCAGCACCTAGCTTGCGTAGACAAGAAAATAGCAAACTGGTGAACCTGCTAGATAAACGGCCAGACAGACAGACAAATATATTGAGAGAGAAAGAGAGATTTTTAATACTCTGTAGTTAAGTCAAAAAGTAACACGCACAAGGCATCTAGGTGGTGTACTAGTTTATTGGGTTGAAGCTTTTATTTGTACAATGCAAGTTTGCTGACATTTGTCTTTCTTTTAACGTCTCTATTTCTGCGGTGCGGTCCGTGCACAATTGTGTGCCATTTACATTATTTTCCATGCACTGGTTTTTGATCAGCGTGGGGGAAAAAAAATAGTGGTGAGCATGCCTTTCCGTGTCTGCGTTTTCATGCTAATACGCTAACGTGACCACAAGCCTCTCTGAAATCTGCAATGAATCACTGGCTCCCCGTCTACTTGTGAAGCCACTCGATGTGTTCACACAGCACTTCTCCGCGCTCACATGGGTTCGACTGGCTAACCGTAGCCTCCTACCTGAGCGCGACTGTTAGACCGATGCAAAAAGAAGTTTCGGTATTATACGTCAGAGAAACCGCTATTGGTCTAAGTCTATGTATCGTGTATGGGAAAGTAGAAGGAGTGTTTTCTTTTGAAAAGAGTTCAGTCGTAAGACACACAAGTCAAAAGGTCCAATGTAAAGGATGTGTGAAAAAAACTGTAGGGTGTCCCAGGAAACAAGTTGACAAGGGGGGGCTCTCAGACCACAATAAAGTGAAGAGGAAGCCTCTTGAGTTTTCTCGTAAGTAGGGCTTTGTCAGCATTCTCACGTTGCTTGCACACGATGCCGCTTGAACACTTGTCCACCTTTCGGATTTTATTTTATTTTATTTATTATTGCAATTCAATGACCTGCTAATTTGCACACAAGTTTTGTACTTTTTTTCCCCACATTTTTAAAATTAATGTAGTTACATTTTAAATGTTAATATATAACGTAGGTCATGGTGTTCTTTATTTCTATTTTTAAAAAATCTTTTAAAAACATTTCACACATTTTGTCAAGAAAAAAGACATTTTGTATTTCTTGTCATCTTTTGAAAATGAATTTCACATTTTAAACTATTTTTTTTTCATTGCATTCTTGTTTTTCCATTTTTGACATTTCTCTTGGAATATTCATGTTTTTTTTTAAATTAGGTTTTTTATTATAATTGTGTCAGAACATTTTGTGGGAAAGTTGTCCATAACTTTTTATTTTATTTATTTAGTTTATTATTTCATATTTGTATTATTTACTATTTTATTTCTTCTTCATTCAGGTTTTTGAGTGTAAATTATCTGACATTTTTTTTGTACATTTTTAGAAATGTAACATTTTTCATGTTTAATTTTTTTGCATTATGAATTGTTTCCCATTGTGCTAAATTGTTTCATATTTTGCAATTCATTTGACATTTGACACTTTTGTTTTCCATGAAGTATATTTATCTATATATTTGACATGTCGTTAAAAAGGCAGCATGGTGGTTGAATGGTTCGCACATCCGCCTCACAGTGCAGTGTTCCATTCCGATTCCGGCCTTCCTGTGTGGAGTTTGCATGTTCTCCCTGTGCCTGTGTGGGTTTTCTCCGGGTACTCCTGTTTCCTCCCACATACAACTCTAAAAGTGTGAGTGTGCGCACATGTGGTTGTTCGTCAATGTGTACCTTGCGATTGGCTGGCAACCACTTCAGGGTGTCTTCCGCCTACTGCCAGAAGTCAGCTGAGATCGCCTCCAGCATGCCCGCGACCCTCGTGAGGATAATAATAAGAAGAAGAAAACCTGTATTCGTTTCAGAATGGAGAAATTCCCAATTTACAGCAGCAAAGTTATGAAAGGAAGGAAGGAAGTAGAAGAACAAAAAGTAGAGGAGCTGCTGTGAAGGCAGCCACTCTCGCGGTGCCATCATGAAGTCAGAATAACATAAGAACAAAATAATATAACACAACACATAACACACAGACAATCATTCAATCTTTTTACATTTTGGAGCTTTTTTTGTAAAATTGTTTCATATATTACAGTTTGACGACAATCATTCAATCTTTTTACATTTTGGAGCTTTTTGTAAAATTGTTTCATATATTGCAGTTTGACATTTCATTTTTTCACATTTAGTCGAACTGACATTTTGCAAAATTGTGTCATATTTTGCAGTTTATTTGACATTTGAATTGTTTTGAATTTTGAAAGATTGGTTCATATTTTACCTTTTTTTTACATTTAATTTGGGGTTTCATTTTTTCACATTTAGTCGAACTGACATTTTGTAAAATTGTGTCACATTTTGCAATTTATTTGACATTTGAATTGTTTTGAATTTTGGAAAATTGGTTCATATTTTACCTTTTTTTTTTTACATTTAATTTGGGGGGAAAAAAATCACATTTTGTACTTTTTGTCATGTTTGGTAGTTTGTGTCGCTTCGGAAAACACATTTGTTTTGGAGTTTGTAAAAATGTAAAACGTTCACGTTTTGGGGAGGGCATTTTCCACCCCCTCATACAAAAAAAAAATCATTTTCAACTTTGAGCATTCTTTTCCACTCCACTTGTTGACCACAAGACTGGACAAAAAGAGTAGGAAGTGTCATTTAGAAGTAGAACAGGTGACTGTGACTCACAGCTCATTCAAAATGCATTCGTGTCAAAGCAGCGAAGACATTCAAGGTTCAAGTCAACTTTATTGTCAAATATGAAATTTCTTTTACTTTCAGATGAAATTTCTTTCCTTTCAACCCCACGAGAGAGAGAGGAGCCGCTGCGGGTGCCCGCGCCGTCATCAACGGAACAGTTAACATAAAATAACAAAATAATACAACACAAACACATAAGACACAGACAGTCGTGCAATCTTAACCACTTTTTCTGCATACACTTTGTTGTTTGGAGCAGTTACATACGAAAGAGGAGAGACTCATAAAGTGTCCTTTCACCAGTAGATCAAAGACGTCACGCTGAAAATGTGCACATACCCGCTACAGGCTGAATTTGGAAGCAAACAAGAAGCTGTCGCGCTCGTATGTGCAAGAGGGAGGAATTTGTGGGTGGTGGTGTTGCTTGCAAGACGACATCTACATACTACGCGTAGTCTTGCGTTCGGAGCAGCATCATGAGCTGTGACCAGAGCTATCCCTTCCAACAAGTGTTCTACGTGGATGGAGCTCAGCATCCGGGGCAGCTACCCAACTGGTCCCGGAGGGGTCAAAAGGTGGCCAGAAGTGGTGGCTGCACAGGTGTGATCCCCACGCTCGCCACCGTGGTGCTGCTGCTGTTTCTGCTGGTGTTTGCTGCACTCGGCTTTGGTGGCTACTTGATGTACAACATGCAGATGGAGCTGAGGGATGTGAGGAAGGTATGGACCCCCTGTTCATAGCACTGTACCCCCCCAAAAAGTTTGTGTAGATTGAACCTAAAATGCATTCTGCCCTTTACAGGCAAATTGAATTTGATCTTCTCGAGACGTTTGAATGCACATGTCCAGCTGTTCAATATTTTTTGAGTACTTTTTCGACAGCTTGCTGTGGTCTAAACATTTTTGTGGAAAACTATCCTCAAGTATTTGTTGGAAAACTGATCCGTCCACAGTTTTGGTGCTGTCAAAAGTGCCATGGGATGCCCCAAGCTCGTGATAAAGCCCTGGCTAAATAGAAAGCAAGCAAGTGGGGTCAAGAAAGTACAGCGGTGCTTCCACAAACAACTTCAATTTTGTAAAAAAAAAAAAAACACGCACCCACTTAGTAATTTTTAAGTCTTTTTTTTAACAATGGATTTCAGTTATTTTAATTGTGTGATTTTAGATTTTTTTGTATTTCATGTTTGTTTTAACATCTTGTAAATTTGGAAATTTTATATGTATATATGTATATGTATATATATATATGTGTGTATATATATATGTATATATATATATGTGTATATATATATAGTCAAATATGAAGAAAAAAATGTATTGAATTTTTCTTCATGTTTGACAATTTGCAATTTTTTTTTTTACATTTATTGCATTTTTTTTAATCATTCTGTACCTTTTTTCCATATTTTGCAATTTTAGGCCATTTTGACTTTTTTCACATCATTCATATTTTTCACAGTTTATGAAGTTGCTGTTCAGTTCCCGGCCACTGTAGTCAAAGTTGCATACTGTGTAGGGGCTGCGGGGTGAAAAAAAAAAAAACGTACTCACTTTTATTTGAGCCACTTATTTTAAGAATAGAGCAAATGAATTAGCGCTGCTGTGACATTTAAGCTGTGATGTTGAGTGTGTGGTCAGTTTTTCAAACAGACAGGATGTTGTGTCCCTTTAATTCGAAGAACGTGAGCGAGAGAGGGGCTTTGCGGTATTCATCACGTATTGTCTCCCTCAGATGTCACGTGAACTCAAGCGAGCGCAGGAGTTCAGCAGAGCTGAGAAGCAAATTGGTAAGTAGTGACTTCAAATCATTCACCGCAACGTTCCCACATCTGTGAACTGATGATGCGATATGGCGCTTTCAAGGTTTGGGTGATGATGGAGGAGAAAAAGTGGACAAAAATGAGAGGATGGAAGAAAGGACTGCAGCGCATGTGATAGGTAAAACTTCATTCCCATTTAAGATAAAAATACTGTGGCCGTTTTCTTAAAAGAAAAAAAAAACTCAGAATTGTAAAAAGCGCACATTCTGTAAAATAAATTGCAGTTGTCTGAACATAAATATAAGAACATAGAACATAAATGTTATGACAAAAATGTTTTATTTGGTCTTTGTGTTCGGGTTAGGGGGGTTAGGGTTAGGGGAGTTAGAGGTTGGGGTTGAGGTTAGGGCGGCTTGGGAGTTAGGGATGAGGGTTACGGGTTGAGGGTTGGTGCTAGGGGTAAGTAAGGTTAGAGGTTAGGGTTCGGATTGAGGGAGAATAAGGGTTAGACTTCGGGTAAGGGTTGGGTTTGTTGTTGAGGTTTGGGTTAGGATCAAAGGTTACATTTACGGTTAGGGTTGAGGGTTAAGATTGGGGTTGGGGTTCGGGTTGGGGGTGAGGTTAGGGTTAGGAGGTAGGGTCAGGGTTGGGGGTTAGGGTTGGGGTTGGGAGTTAGGGTTGGGGTTTGGATTGGGGGTTAGGGTTGGGGTTAGGGTTGTTGTTGGGGTTAGGGTTGAGGTTAGGGTTGGGGCGTAGGGTCTGGGGTGGGGTTAGGGTTGGGGTTAGGGTTGAAGTTAGGGTCGGGGTTGGGGCTTCGGGTTGGGGCTAGGATTGTTGTTGGGGTTCGGGTTGGTGTTTGGGTTGGGTGTTAGGGTTGGGGTTAGGGTTGGGATTAAGGGTTAGGGTTGTTGTTGGGGGTTAGGGTTTGGGTTGGGGTTAGGGTTGGGGTTTGGTGGTTAAGGTTGAGGGTTAAGATTGGGGTTGGGGTGAGGGTTTGGGGTTGAGGTTAGGGTTAGGGTTAGGGTTTGGGGTTAAGGTTAGGGTTTGGGTTGGGGTTAGGGTTGGGGTTTGGCATTAGGAGTTAGGGTTGGGGGTTGGTTGTTAGGGTTGGGTTTGGGAGTTAGGGTTGGGGTTAAGGTTGGGAGGTAGGGTCAGGGTTGGGGGTTAGGGTCGGGGTTAGTGTTGGTGTTCGGGGTTAGGGTTGGGGGTTTGGCGCGCACACACACACACACACACACACACACACACACACACACACACACACACACACACACACACATATTTTTATATGAAACCTGACAGTTCTATCAGCCTATTATTTCTGTTGCAGGGCGAATTGAAAAGCACATCTTCCACAAAACGCTGCGCTGGGAGTCACGCGTTGGTGCCGCGTTCACTGGCGGCGGCGCGGTCTACCAGTTGGAAGACGGCGCCTTGCGCGTCAACCAGAGCGGGCTCTATCACATCTACTCACGGGTGGAGCTGCTCTTCAAGCAATGCTCTCCCACATCCTCCTTTATCCACACGGTGTTCGTAAGGTCAACGTCCGGCGTGGACACGGCCTTGATGGAGGCCCACCGGGCCGGGTTCTGCTCCTGGCGGAGCAAGCTGAAAGAGCATCACGCCTGGACCGCCGACAGTTACCTGGCGTCGGCTTTCCGGCTCCGCCAGAATGACAGGATTCTCGTCAACGTGTCGCAACCGCAATATCTCAGTCATTCCAATCACGGCAACTTCTTCGGTCTCTACAAGATCTGATTGAGACACTTTAAGCGCCCAGGACACAACATGAATGATGTCGTCTTGTGTCACGGTGGAGAAAGACACCTCCCCTAATCGATGCCTTTAACACCATTAACACTAATGTGATGTGTGGAGCATTATATTTATTCACCATGGTTCGCCCTTGAACGCAACGTTTTCAAGACTAACTATGAGAAAAGGTTTTCCATTTTCCTCCCTGGCTTCATTGCAGGATTTACATAATTTATTGTCACCATAATTAACTGAGAAGCTGCAGCAGAGCCAATATGTACAATGTACAATGCCACTGTAAAATAAACTCCAAAAAAGTAAACCCGTTGAAGTTGCCTAACTGATCCCGACTCCTCATTTCACCTTTTAAAAGAAAAGTTTTCACATTTTTTTTCAACATTGTTTTCATTCTCATTTTATATACAGAGAGAAAGAGAAGAAAATGTTTAGATTTGTTTTGTGGGATCCAGCAGTGTTTTGTTTTTTTTTTTGGTCTACTTTTTTTTTCATTTTACATCACGTCATTTTAGGTTTTGTTTTATAATCAGGCGTTTTCTCCACATTTAAACATTTATTTCCAGTTTAGATTCTCACGTCTTGCAAGTTGCAAATTTCTTTTCACCTTTTGTGCATTATTTCACATTTTATATTTCATTTAATATTTACACTCTTTCCCATTTTTTCCACATTTTGTTTTGATTTTTTTCTAAAAATATGGTGTAATTTTTCAACATTTTTTTAAAAAAGCACACATTTAAAAAAAATACATGTTTACCAAAAATATACATAGTGACTTTTTATACGTGTTGCTGAAACTAATTAATGTCAGAGTATGGAGTCGGGCTTGAACTGACTTACTGACTTTACCACTGCTTAAAGTGGATCTCTCAGCAATCAGTGGAAAGCATTAACCTGGATGCCTCTCTGAAAGAAACAATTGCGCAGGGTGCTGATTCCACACAAAAAGTCAACCCAAAAGCGATTCTCCCACACCCCCTCCGAAATGTTTTTGAAAACACTGTCATGCAATGATGACACAAATGTTTATTAACCCACGTTATGGACAGGATTCTCGTCAACGTGTCGCAACCGCAATATCTCAGTCATTCCAATCACGGCAACTTCTTCGGTCTCTACAAGATCTGATTGAGACACTTTAAGCGCCCAGGACACAACATGAATGATGTCGTCTTGTGTCACGGTGGAGAAAGACACCTCCCCTAATCGATGCCTTTAACACCATTAACACTAATGTGATGTGTGGAGCATTATATTTATTCATCATGGTTCGCCCTTGAACGCAACGTTTTCAAGACTTACTATGAGAAAAGGTTTTCCATTTTCCTCCCTGGCTTCATTGCAGGATTTACATTATTTATTGTCACCATAATTAACTGAGAAGCTGCAGCAGAGCCACCTGTACAATGCCGCTGTAAAATAAACTCCAAAAAAGTAAACCCTTTGAAGTTGCCTGACTGATCCCGACCCCTCATGTCACCTTTTAAAAGAAAAGTTTTCACATTTTTTTTCAACGTTGTTTTCATTCTCATTTTATATACAGAGAGAAAGAGAAGAAAATGTTTAGATTTGTTTTGTGGGATCCAGCAGTGTTTTTTTTTTTTTTGGTATACTTTTTTTTTTTCATTTTACATCACGTCATTTTAGGTTTTGTTTTATAATCAGGCGTTTTCTCCACATTTAAACATTTATTTCCAGTTTAGATTCTCACGTCTTGCAAGTTGACACATTTTTGCAATTTCTTTTCACCTTTTGTGCAGTATTTCACATTTTAGATTTCATTTTATACTTTCACTCCCATTTTTTCCACATTTTGTTTTGATTTTATTCTAAAAATATGGTGTAATTTTTCAACATTTTTTAAAAAAAGCACACATTTAAAAAAAAATACGTTTCCCAAAAATATATGTCAGAGTATGGAGTCGGGCTTGAACTGACTTACTGACTTTACCACTGCTTAAAGTGGATCTCTCAGCAATCAGTGGAAAGCATTAACCTGGATGCCTCTCTGAAAGAAACAATTGCGCAGGGTGCTGATTCCACACAAAAAGTCAACCCAAAAGCGAATCCTCCACACCCCCTCCGAAATGTTTTTGAAAGCACTATCATGCAATGATGACACAAATGTTTATTCACCCACGGCTTTGGTGGGTTCGATGTGCTCGTCATTTTGTTTTGCGGTGCACGCCAAAGTGAGACAAAGGTGAAGGCGCTTGACTGGTGCAGATGAGGGAGCTCGGCGCCTGCAGCAAGTCTGGCATGCACTTCCTTCCTGTGCTAATAGCGTCATGAGGGTCTTGAGCGTGCGGTGGAGGCGACAGCAGCAGCTTTCTTTGCACCCGCAAAAGTCTTCTTTCTATCCTTTTTCACACCAGCATCAGCAAAGCCAATTCATCTGTCGCCATTGTAAAACCGTCATTATACCAAAACACCAAAAATGTTTCATTTTTCTCCAAGATTTAATTTTTTTTAAGCCTTAATTTTTTTTAAATAACCGCTTCCCCATCAGATGATGTAAAATAGATCCACATTTTTTATATTGAGAAAATATGTATATTGTAACATTTGAACATTCATTTGTGTCACTCGAGACTATCAAAATACTGTACAAAAATAAAATAAATCCCTATCTAAAAAAAACAAACAAAAAAAAACTGATGTAACTAAAACTACTTCCACTTTGAGATGTCTGGCATGCATATATGGAGAGGGTACAAGTGACTTTCACTTAAAAAAAACTAAACAAAAACACAGGTACAGTTTCAGATTTAAATTTTTTCATATTTTGTAAACAAGAGACCATTGCAATTCATAATTTTCACAATTACATGTTTTAAAAATAATCACTGTTATTATTTTACAGAACGATTTAACTTGTTGGGAAATTGTTTGGATATTTTTTTTCAGAGTCTGCCCTGAAAAGAAAAAAATGCAAAAAATTATTTTGTACCATTTCAAAATTCCCAACTGTCACACAACTCTGATAAGAACCGAAGCGGTGCGTAATAAAAGTATCGTTACTCACATTTTTACAAGACAAGAGAGGAGGGAGTTTTCAGAACAATAGCTCGATCTAGTGGCCATTTTTTAGAACTACAAAAAATGTAATTAAATTAAAATAAAAAAGTAAACGTTTTTTTCACAGTTTACATTGTGTTATTGAGATTGTAAAAAAAATGTAAAGGATTTTCTTTCTCACCAAGTTGTTTCACGTGTTTTTTTGGGGGGTTAGGGTTAGGGGTTGGAGTTGCGGTTAGGGTTGTTGTTGGGGTTAGGGGTTGGGGTTGAGGGTTGGGGTTAAGGGTTAGGGTTGGGTTTAGGGTTGGGGTTAAGGGTTAGGGTTGGGTTTAGGGTTGTTGTTGGGGCTAGGGTTGGTGTTTGGGTTGGGGGTAAGGATTAAGGGTTGGGGTTCAGGGTTGTCATTGGTGTTAGGGTTGGTTTTTGGGTGAGGGTTGGGATTAGGGTTAGGATTGGGGTTGGAGTGGTGTTAGGGTTGGGGGTTAGGGTCGGCGTTGGGGGTTAGGGTTGGGGTTAGGGGTCAAGGTTGTTGTTGGGGTTAGGGTTTGGGTTGTTGTTGGGGTTAGGGTTGGTTAGAGTTGGAGTTGGGGTTGGAGTATGGGATTAGGGCTGGGGTTTGGGTTGGGTTTAGGGTGAGTGTTTTGGTTGGGGTTGGGGGTTAGGTTTGTGGTCCTTAAATTCCAATAAATTACAATCGCTGTTCAAGATGATGAATATAGCCAATTAAATAACAGTGCCAAAAAAATCCTCAAACTACATCAATTCCCATATCGGGAGGCGAACCCGAGCTGCCTGGGTCAAAACTAGGAATCGTAACCACGATAACATACGGGACTTAAACAGCAACGAAGTTGGGAATGAATTGTTGCGCCTCACGAAGACGGCGATACCGCACTTATCCAGTAGAGGGCGCCGATTTCCCACTTTCTAAAAAAAAAAAAAAAAAAAAGTCCCCTTCCATTGTGAATACACTGTACTGTAATTCCTAACTATAAATTGTCACGTTTTCCTTTTTTTTTTTTTTTTTTTTTACTTGAAATTGAATCAGTACTTCTACTTTCAACACCGTCATTCTTTACACCATTTTTTTGTACTTCAATACAGCAAGTAAAGAGTGGGAACCAACCACGAAGAAACCACGTTATCACAAATGAGAAGTGTAACACTTTATTTTTTCACCATATTTTCATTTACATGACACTTAACAGTTTTGAATTGTATGTAAAAATTACTTCTTGTAAATATAATGAATATATGACAGCGATGATTCCATGGAAGTCTCTACAGACTGCGTTTGACTTTTAACGGACATTACCCACAAAATAAAACAGTACGTAAGCGTGGAACTGCCAACGGGGAGTAAAGATTTTTGAAGGGCTCTGTCAATCAAACGTCGGTAAAGTCGATTTTTCGTTCGGATTTGGTAAAGTCGCAGTTAGGCGAATTCAAGCACACAATGCAAGTCAATAGCCCATGACGTTATGGGAAAACAAATGTTTTTAGCATTTCGTCTGCGCTTTCGCAATACGTTCGAACGACTTTGTCAACGCGTTTCCACGACTTTTGCCGTACTTTTGAACGACTTTACAAACTCCTTCGCACAAGATAGCCCCACCAAAAATGTTTACTCTACATTGGCAGTTCCTCGCTTCATCAAAAACCCCAAATCCAAGGTTAGGGTTTGGGTTCGGCACTTCAGGTTTGGGTTAGTGTTTTTATATTTAACTGGACAAAAAAAAAAAAAAAAACCTCCCAAATTAAGATGAAATATGCATAAAAACAGCTTTTTGTTGAACATTGACAAGCAGGTACAAATACGGCGGCAACCTGCACAAAGTTTCAACCAAGTGAGGAATGAATTTGAAACAAGTGAGGAGAGCTATCAGTGTTAAAAAAGAAGAAAAAATATATATTTTTTATTTACACTCTGACACAATTGGGTGGCTGTCACAATTCATAGATGTGGAAGGAGCTGTCACTGAGCTGTCCGCTGAAGTGGACGCTCACCGTGCTGTAGTCCACCAACTTCAACTTCTCGAAGAAGAAGACTTCGGATGCTCTGGGCTTGATCTGGAGGTCCATCTCGCTCAGGTTCAACGTCTGCTTGAGGACCACCACGTCCGCCCCTTCCTCCTTCTCCCCCTCCTTGAAAGCCAGCCAGCCGTAGATCAAGTAGGTGGCCGCTCTGTCCACGGTGAAGATGTGATGTTGTCTTTGTTCGTTAGTCTCTAGGGAGAAATTGGAAAAGACACGTCGGTGTTCGCCACACTGCTAAATGCTCAAAATGGAAACGGAAGCATTACTTTGGACCGAACACGTGACGTTAACTTTGACTCTCCTGCTTGCTGCTCCGGCATCCTGCAAACAGACATTGAGCAAATAATGTCAGTTCTTTCTATTAGCGACATTATTGCTTACCAGTTAGCTCACTACCTACCTACCCACCCACTGGTCCGTTAAAATTATACACAGCACAGTGACTTGGTCAGAAACAAGTCCTACCCACCCACTGGTCCGTTAAAATTATACACAGTGACTTGGTCAGAAACAAGCGTGCCATAATAAGCCCACTAGGCGCCTCACCTGATTGCTGATGTTCAAGTGTAGGAGGAGTCCGGCGGCTGTTACTGCAGCCCCGAGCAGCAGCGCTCCAATCAGGGCGACGGCGCGTCCCATGCGCGCCCGCCGCTTGGTTGCACCCGGATTGATGTGCGCTGCCATGGTGAACTCTTCCAACGGTGACTCCTCTCCGGCCTGATGCTTTTCCATTGGCACTTGCGTTGACACTCATGCAGGTTGCAGGTATTTATAAAGGGTGTGACAGCCAGTCGCCCACACCAACACACTCACACACGACAGTGTCAGAATTAGCAGGAAGCCTTGTTGGGCAATAGAAAGGAAGAGGGAATACATGTCCGCCCCTGCAAATCTCACAAGTTATAATTGAAGCCTACAAGCACAGCGTCGCCGGTCCCAAAGGTTTTTATGACTTAATTAGGGGGTTGATGACGGAAAGCTCTTCTCAAACTGGTGCACGGCCAAGCGGGAATTACTTGGCTGTTCTTTTTTTTTTTTTACACACTTTCATTGTTGTTGCATTTACAACAGTGAAATTTGTTCTGTTTGCATCCTGTGGTAGTGCAAGATTAAAAAAAAAAAAAAGCCACTAAGTATTGTGTAATTTAGTAAATTACAATTCTCAAACAATTGTTTGACCTTCCTTTTTTGGAAGCGACGGAAGTACACAATCCCAAAATGTTTC